CTGCAATACTTCGCGGTGGCATTGTAGGGAGGATTGCAAGGGAATTCGGTAGTAAGGAGTCTGGGTTGCAAGGACCGTCCATCGAGGTCACAGTGCATCATTCGGGGTACTTTGTCCCGTCTAAACACGACGGGTATTTCTACTGGGATGACGACCTCACTGGTGAGGAGATTGCATGTTTGTGTGGGACATACTGCCTCTATACAGGTAAGGTCTGTCTTCCGTGAGTGTCTTCAATAGTGAATTGATTCCTCATATACAGGGCGTGGCGAGCAGACAACAACGGTCTCGTGGTTCCCTCCTCCGGACGTTTGGGACAAGCAGGGTTATGGCTGGCCAGGATGGACGGAAACTAACGAGGAGTTTTTCCAGCAGTGGATAGCAGACATTCGCAAGGGCAATGCCAAACCCCTGGTGGCGCAAGGTTCGTAGCATCAAGAACACGAGGTCGATGCTTAAGAACAACAGGGAACGGGCAAAGGCATACGTCGAGTTGAACATTCATGCTATGTAGCTTTCATCTTGATTTCTTGGACACTGACATGTATTTTTTTTTTGGTGCATACACAATAATGACAAGGGTTTTTTTTCCAGTTACATTGTAAGGACTATGCTACACGCTGTGATTACAGGAGGTACCTATGACCTGGTTGTAGCGGTGGCGGCATTGATTTGACTCGAGTGAACCTATTTCACGGCAGACACCCTTCTATGAGGAGGACACGCGATCGCGTCAAAGGTAACTCTCATGATATTCAAAATTTCTTCATATAAAGCATGTATGTACCAAATAGATTATGTGATTCGAGCCCTTACATGGTCACTATATGTGAATTGTCTGACTAGTGGATGAGACGAGACCCACAGGATAGACCTACTACTACATGGCTGCAACATCTAAACGCCTCTAACTAGCTGAGCCAACATCAAATATTTTAGCCATGAAGGAGCTGGTTTGGTATCTGGCAGATGGGTGGAACAAGATGCCCAGGATAGTCCAGCTGCTTCATGGATATTACATGTTGACATGTGCCAGCCAGCTGAGTTAACATTAAATATTTCAGCTGCGATGGAGCTGTTTCCTGATCTGACAGGTGGATGGGATAAGATCTTCGGCATGCTCTTCCTACTACATAGTTGTCATGTCTGAACATGTGCCAACCAGCTAACCTAACATCAAACCTTTCAGCTGCTATATAGCTGACTCCGTATCTAACCCATGTGCGTCGACGTATGCGTCCAATGAAATTAGAAAACGTGACTACGAGATATCATACATTTGGCAGTGTAGACCGCCGAAGCGTCTTTCAGAATGATGACACACACCCAACAGACACCTATAATAAATTGCCGCCCAATTATCGATTGAAATGCTTGTAACAACTTATGCTGTAATGATAATTTACTTACAAGCGTCCTTAATCCGCCAAGCATAGAAGTATAGCACGACCAAAGCACGACTACGCCCCCAAAGTGAACAAGAATCCCATCTGGACCCTCGTTCGATATGACTTCCTGACTTCGAAGTCCTCGTTGTCCAGAGAACGAGAGTGCATATCGTCTACAGAGTCGAAGTGTTGGGCGTGGGGGCTGTCGAGAGCCATTGCGAGGCTTTTGTGCAAGAGCGGATATCAACAGGGGGGCCGAAAATATTCTGAGCTTGATCTGGGTGATATCTATGTCCGTAAATTCTTCTAGCTCGTCAGACGTCGTCTATGCAGAGGACCAAGAGGGTACCGCTCACCCAAGTGGATAGCTTTTGTGCAGGGGTCAAATATGTGCATCAACATCCACTAAGAAATACTGCGAAAAATAGACATAGTCGAACATATCTGGTCGAAAAAGATATCAGGCAGACTGCAGAAACAACTTTTGGTCTCATCAGTCGGTTCGAAAATTCGAAACATCTACGACGTACCAACGTATGTATTGCATGAAATATCAAAAAACTTCTTGTTTGATCTTCGCAGACGACCGCGTCTCTCTCCGTGGACTCGAGCTTTCAGCAGCCTGTGGCGCAATTGCACTTGCACTCGCAATAGCCTTCTCCTTTGCCCTCTCCGACCGTCTGAGAGTGGGCGGCTCCTGCTCGTCCGTCGTCTGCGCCTTCCGCAACGCCTCTCTCAACTCCCGTACTCTCGCCTCCAGCACCGCCTTCTCCTCCATCCACGCGTCCTTGAGCTTCGTGCAGTCCGCAACGAACTTGTTCCGGTCCTGTTCTAGCCGCATGTAGTCCGTACGGGCCTTCTGCAGCTCCTTTTGAAGTTCCTTGCTGGCAGTGGCAGTAGCAGCCTTCTTCTGCAGCTGTACCTTCTCCTTGTCGAATACTTTCCTCTCTTTGTCGAAGGCCTTCCTTTCCTGTTCCAGTTTCTGCTCCAGGTTCTCGTCGAAGCTGGTTAAGGCATCTTTGAGTGCTTTCGCATGTTCGGCCTTTAAGGTGTCGATATCGACTTTCTCCTCCTCCCAGATCTTGCTCAAGCGCAGCATGTTCGCCCGTTCCTGTTGCATCTTCTCGCTCTCCGCAGCAAGCTTTTTCTGGAGTTCGGCCACGCACAACTGTCCCTCCTTCTCCAGTAACACAGCCCTTTCCTCCGCCTTCTGTGAACGCTCCTTCTCCTCGACCAGCCGCATCTCGAGCAGATCGGCCTTCTTGGCCCCGAGCTCGACCTCCTGTTGTGCGGTGCGACGGCCCTCCTCAGCCTTCTGGGTGACGGAACGGGCAGTGGTGAGGCTTGTCTCGAGCAGAGCCATCTTCTTGTCACGAGCCTCGATAAGCTTTTGGAGGTTGTCGAGGCGAGATTCCCATTCTTTGGTAGCAGCAGCAGAGGGTGGCGTTGGTGACGACGGTGCTGAATGGACCTTCTTGAGCTCCTCCTCAAACGCCCTCTTCTGCTTCAGAATCTCGATATTCTCGTCCATGACCTCCTTCAGCCGTTTCTTGTGACCCACTAGCTCCTTCTCTAAAGTCTCAACGCGGCGCCGACCCTCCTCGCGGATCTCCTCGAACCTCCGCACAGTCCCAGCACGCACATCCTCGAGATGCCGCTCCGCCTCGTCCTTCACCCTTTGACGTTCCTCCTCCTGGGTGGCCCAGAGGTCGGCGATTTGGGCCTCAGCTCGCTCTCTCTCCTCTGCAACCCTCTTCTCCGTGTCGGCAGAAAGCTGTTGGCGTTCTTCTTGTACTTTCTGCGCCACCTCTTCCGCGACACGGCCCTCTACCCGCTGGCTGACCTCGTTCTCCCACCTCTGGCGCTCGTCAAGCATGATGCCGAGGGTCGACTGCAGTTCGTGCTTGTCGTGCTCCAGCCCTTGCACCTTTGCCGCTGTATCCTCCGCCTTCTTAAGCTCCGCCTCCATCTTGCTGAGCTCCACCTTCCTCTCCTCGAGCTCCTCCCTGGTCTTCTCGAGCTCATCAGTAGCAACTTGGAGTTCCTTGTCGAGCACCCCTACCCGTTGCTTAAGCTCAGACACCGCGGCCTTCAAGTTCAACGCATCCTTCTCCTCCTTCGCTCGCCCCACACGCAGTTCAACAACTGTGTTCTCTAGCTCCTTGCTGCTAGCCTCGACTACGCTGAGCCTCGCCGTCAGCGTGTCGGCCCTCTTCTTCTCTTTCTCAACCTCCTCCCTCGCCTCGCCTCGCTCCACTCGTAGAGCGACGATTGTCTCCTCCAGGGTGCGGTTGGCAGCCTCGAACTCGTTGGCCAGCGCCTGCGCCTCGCGGACCCCTTCCGAAGCTCTTTCAACACGAGCGAGCGCCTCGTCGGCCACATGCTGCATCTGCAGCAGGGCGGATACGGATATGAGGCACTCTGCTTCCGCTTGAGAAGATACTTCTTCCAGACGTTGGGCACGAGCGGCGAGTCCCGGGAAAGTAGATTCGAAAGACTGGATGAGGCGGAAACGTTCATCACGGCAGAGGCGGCGTTCATCTGCTAGGATGGCTTGGACGGCACCGAGAACCTTCTTGCGGGCTGTTGAAGACTCTTCAGCAAGTGTGGTACGCTCTTTCCGCCAAGCTTCGCGTTCCTCGGTGAAAATACTCCGCTCCTCAGCCCAGCCCTTCCTCTCTTCTTCCCAAGCCGCCTGCTCTTGGATGAGAGCGTCATATCCGACTTGGAACTCGAGTTGGGCCTTCTCCCAAGTCTTCCTCTCCTCCTCCCACCTCGTCCGCTCGTCGTTCCTATCCTTCTCCACAGTCTTCCACTTCCCCTTCCATGTCACCCACTCAGCTTCACACTCCTCCTCGCGCTTCGCCATCGCGTCCTTCAGTTCCTGCACACGCACCTCCGCATTGGTCGCACGCAACTCGCTCGCTTCAAGACTGTTCTGACTCTCCGCAAGCGTGGCCTTCGTTTCGTCAAACCCAGACTGAATCTCTACGGCCTTGGCTTGCATCTCCTCAAGCCTCTGCACCACCTCATCCTCCCGATTCCTCGCCTCCTCCGCTTCCCTCCTCGCGCCCGTAGTCTCCCTCTGTGCCTTGTCAAGCTCCTGCCAGGCATCGCGGACTTTGGAGAGCGCATCCCGAGCTGTGCTGCCAACTTCGGCGAGTTTGTCCTGTGTGTGGCGGAGGTCCTCTTGCACCTGCGACTTCTCTGCTTCCAGCACAGTCATCTGAGATTCCAAGGTGTTGGTGCGCTCTGCCGTCCCTTCGTCCTGCGTCTTCTCCTCTTCCAATACCGCGATCCTTGTTTGGAGTTTGACGACCTCGGCCCGGGCGTCTGCTGTTTCGCCAGCAGCTTTGGAGACCTGCGCCTCCGTGTCCGCCTGGATCTTCTCGAGTGCCTCCTTCCAGTACGCCTTCTCGCGAGCATGGCTCTCGGTCTGGTGCCTCCAGCTCTTCGCCTCTTGCTTCTTCGCCTCCTCAGCCTCTTTCTTCGCCTCCGCCCTCTCTACCTTCGCTACTTCAAGCTCCTCTCGCACATTAGCCGCCTCCTCAGCCTCCGTCCTTGCCTTCCCTAGCTCCGCACGTACCTCAGCAAACCGTTCCACCTCTGCATGTAGCTGTGTGACCTGCTCCAGGGCTATATCCAACTGCGTCTTGTACGACTCCACGCTCTTCTCGTTCTCTGTCGCGAAGAGCGTGGAGAGGGCGTCGGCGCCGCGATGGATCGCAAGGGAGATGTTCGGAGGATTAGGAGGAACGGTTTCGGGCTTGGGGCTCTGCTTAACGATGACTTTGTCTTGCTTGGGTGTTGGCTTCGGGGTTGAGCTGTGGCTTGACGTGCGAGTAGAGGCTGGGCTGGGTTTGCCGCTCGGAGTGCGGGTCGGGATGGGCGGCGGAGGAATGGAAGAAAAGGAGGGGGAATTAGTAGTTCGCCGACCTGTAGAAGTAAAGGGATATGTGTTAAGAGGTGGACGTGACCGAAGGAAAATATCGGGGTCTGGTAAATTCGGTATTTGCATATCGGCACTAGATGTGGAGGCAGATCGTAGAGGTGTCGCCGTAGACTCAGCTCCATTCACTTGAGGTTTACTGATGTCGCTCGTCTTTAATGCCTTTGAGGCGGCTGACGAAGTAGAAGTATTTATCCTTGTCGGTAGAGGTGGGCGAGATTTCGGTGGCAAAGGTTTTGGTGGAGGTGTAGACGAACTTGAAGGTGGTGCGACCTTCGTCGCGGAAGTGGATGTGAAAGAAGAGACGGATTTGCTGGGAGAAAGCTTAATCCTGATCATGAGCTTTTCGGGAGGATTTGCGTCGGTGACGGCATTGGTGTTAGCTTTCGCGGGTGATGTTGAGGTGGAGGCAGCAGGCATTGAAGTAGTCGCGGGCTTCGGTGGAGTCGCACTTGAAGTGGATCGTCTTGACTTGGAGCGTTTTATACGCTTTGCGGGTGGTCCTATATTCACAGCATCATCCTGAACCTGGGGTATTGGGGCACTCCCAATAGTTTTTCGCCCTTTAGCTGGTGGTGACGAAGCTGTAAAATATATGCGCCCATAAGTCGGCAAAAAAGCAGAGGAAGCGAGTCTGAACGTACAGCTCAATGTTGACGCCCCTCCACCCTGAATCCCCTTCTCCATTCCCTCCACCGTCCTCTTCCTCGCCAGCATCTGCACTGTGTCAGGAAGGGGCAAGAATCCACGCCCATACACATGTCGCGGTCCCTTCCAAGAATCGAAAGGATTCCAAACCCGCGTTGGCGTTTGCGTCTCCGTGGATTTGGGTTTCGTAGAGGTCGTAGAGGGCCCAGGGCTCGAGTCCACCAAGGTCAGTGTGGGTGACGCCGACGAGGCTGACATGTCGCCAGATCCGGATCCAGTTGTGTGTTCCGCAGACGACGAGCTCGATGACGGCACTATCGTCGTCGTATCGGACATTGATGGTGTCGGCGGAGACTGACTGCCTGTACTGTGCGTCCCAATAGTGGTGGGAACGTGGGGTGCGGCCATGAGAAGCCCTGCCGCCTCGTTGCCGGCTGTGTCATTCGATGTCGAGCTTATCGCCTTCCCTGCCTCATGCTCATCAGATGGCGGCCCCTTCACCATAGGGTCATCATGATCTACGTCCATCTCCAGCTCGTTGCCCTCCAAATCGCTGCTATCCGCCTCTGGAACGAGCAGGTTCGCCAAGCAGTCGAGCTCGTCTTCGGATGAGGCCATTCTCCACCAAGGTGTGCCAGTAGTCCGTTAGGCGCGGGAATGGATAAAGATTCACGGGGGCCACAGCGATGGCATGCAGACACACGGGGAAGATGGCGGGACGCTGGGAGAAAATTATGGCATTATGACACGGCCCTGGGCGCGATGGCACGTTGATTGGTTGATCACAAACGTCTACTGGGGCCGATGACAGATCAGGTACGCTTTAGCCTTGCGATATAGGACATAATAAAGTGTGGGTTAATCGTAAAATCTGAAGAAAGAGAAGGAAATATCATCGTTTGGTGGCAAGAGGTGAGTAAGAGGTGCACGGCCAGCCCTGGAGTCAGCAACGGGCCCGCAAAGATAACGAATTTTAAAAGAGAACACGTAAGTAAAGTAAAAGACGCTTCACAAACTTCACATCCCATGGACTGACGCCCGCAACGTCTCGGGCGTCAATCAGGATTCGCCCACCCTTGGGCGCTTCCCCGGCCTCCCACTACTAGCGCCCGCCAACTCGTCCTCCAACTCCTTCACCTTCCTCTTCGCCCCGTCCCTCTCTTCCTTCAAGTCCTTCACTTGCTTCCGCACCATCTCCCACCTCTTGTCCCAGCCCTCCTTCGCCTTGTATAACTCCTCTTGCTTGGCCTTGGTCGCCTGTAACTCCTTCTCTAGCTTCTGCCGTTCCTCAAGCCACGCAACGCGTTCCAGACTGGTTGATTTTTCCAAGTTGATCTTTTCGTCGTTGATGTTTCGGAGGATAGCGTTGAGGCGCTGAATTTCGTGGACGCCCTTCTGCTCGGCGGAACTGGGGCGGTCGGCGATGGACTGTAGGCTGCGTTGCAGACTCTCCTCGAGAGCGTTCATGCGGGAGACGAGGCCATTTTGGAGGTCTTCGTTCAGTGATACGACCGTTTTCTTGGTCAATACCTCCGCGTATTCATCGAGAAGTCTCTGGTTCTCCTCGACGAGCGCCTGACGTTCTACCTCCCAGGCCGCTTTCTCCTGCTCAAACCCGGCTCTCTCTTCCTCCCATCCGGCTCGCTCATACGCCCACACATCTCTCTCCTGCTCCCGCTCAACTCTCTCCCTACCCCACAACGCCTTCGCCGCCTCCCATTCGCCACTCGCTTCCTGCCAAGCCTCCTTTTCTTCTTCCCAATCATCCTTCTCTTCTTCCAAACCAGCTTTCTCCGCTTCTAGCTGATTGTATTTGTCTTGGAGGCTGAACGAATTCTCGCTCTCCCGCCACAGACGCTCGTTCACCTTGTCCAGCTTCTCGCCGCTCTCCTTACACTCTCGTTCCGCTTTCTCTGCCCTCTTCTCCGCCTCACTCGCCTTTCTTTCTCCTTCCACAGCCCTCCGTTCAGCGTCGTTCGCCTTCTTCTCCGCCTCACCAACTCGGCGCTGGAGTTCCAGCGCCTTCTTCTGGACCTCAACGAGGCGAGCCTCCATAGCCGCCAAGCGCGATTCAGTCTCGTGCGTGGCAATTTCGGATTTGGTGTACCGAGACTGAAGTGCTGAGCGCTCCTCGGCCCATTTCTGTGTGACTTCGCGCGTCCACTCGTCTCGAAGAGCTTGGAGGCGCTCCGGGCCGATGGAGGTTGTGCGTGCTGGTGAGGGTTCGTGGTCGATGGATTCGTCGGAGGAGTCGATTTGGCCATCTTCATCTTCGTCTTCAGAGTCTTGGAGATCGTCGTTTTTAACGCATTCTCCTTCCTCTTCTTCGTCTGGTAGTTCGTCTTCAGACTCCTCTTGTTTTATTTGTTCGACGCCTTGCATGGCAGTTTCTTCCTCTTCCTCCTTGACCTCTTCTCCGTACTCTGTATCCTCCTCCTCTTCCCTCTCCTCTTCCTCTTCCTCTTCCCCCTCTTCTTCGTCCATCTCCTCTTCTTCGTCCTCGTCCTCAACCTTAACATTCTCTCTCTCCGCCATCCTCTCCCTCGCCTCCCTGAGTTGCTCCTGCACGATCTCCAACTTCGTTTGCGTAGTTCGAAGTTGTAACCCTACGTAGTGGGTGAACGAGTTAGCCCTCTCTGCGCGAGCAGCCGCTTCCTCAGCCGCTTCCTCTACGCCCTTGCGATAGTCGACAAATTGCGCGATCAGGCCATCGAGCCGCTCCCTCGTGCGCGCAAGCACACGCTCCGTGTCAACAGCAACAGCCGTCTGGCGCACGAGCTGGCTCTGGACGTCCGCGAGCATGGCCTGCCTATCGGCAAGCGTGTTCTGGGTGAAGGCGAGTTCGGCGCCGGTACGCGCCAACTGGTTCTGCGAGTTCGCGAGCACAGCCTCGGTGTTGTTGAGCTGCTGGGTCAGCGCACCTTTCTGCGCATCGAGCAGGATGGCGCGCTGCTCGGCTGCGTAGACACGCGCACGGAGCTTCGTCATTTGGGAGGGCTTCTTCTTGTACAGTTGCCCCTGCCCCTGCCCGTGATGGTGATGGTAATGGTTTTGTTGGACGCACGGGGTCGGCGCATACGAGGTGGACGGCGAAGCGTGTGGAGATGGGTAGCATGAGGAGGCATCCGCGTCCGCTACCGCCATTGACGGCGACGGAGGGGGTGAAGGAGAGGGCGAGGGGGTGGGAGAGGTACACGGGGTGAGCGGGATGCGTAGGATTAGGGGCATGGGCGGAGTCGCTGGTCGCGGCAGGGCAGTAAGGGGTGCGAGGGAGAGAACAGGTGGATATTCGAAGGGCATAGCTGGGTTGTCTCTTTGATGTTTCGATTATGTTGGGAGTATAGGATGACTAGTTGAATATAGGCTAGGTAGTACGTGTTTGAGTTACCGGGTGGGATCGCTTTGTTGTTTCTGGGGTTGAAGGGGGGTTGAATCGGTCTGAAATCGAATACTGGTGTCGCGTAGAGTATGAACGGTGTTTCGCCGTGAAGTTGGGAGATGATAAGATATGATACGGGTGGTGTTGAAAGGATAAAAAGATGAAAGGGGTGTCGCAGAGGTGTCGCAGGTTGTCCAAAGGACTCGTTCAACTCTCCAGCATCGGCGCTTCACTTCCAGTTACCCAACTTCCAACGCCAACGTTTGAGCTGCAAGTGAACGTAGCTGGCAGAGTGTGCCTTTGTCCTTTCTCCTCGTTATCTCTCGAGTCAGAGACCTTTGTCCCGGGCCCAAGATCGGCTGATTCAGTATAAGTATAGCAAATCGAAGCTTCAGAGAGCTTTGACGACGTGTCCGATAACCTGAACGTTAACGTGGACACGTCTCGCGCAGTCGTATGTCGCGGTGGCCAGTTCTGAGACCAAGATAAGCAAGACACACCGTCGCGAGGTCTATTTGTAGTCTGGAATGGATGACGTGCCCTCCGCCCTAGGCACCCGACCACCTGATCCGCAGGTGTTTGGACCATGCGCTCCCGTCTTCATTCGGTAGTTCTTGGCGGATAAGACGCGCATGACGCGAGAGGACCCAACACGTCGATCAAATGACGTTGATCGGATGGTCCCGATTTGGTGGTTTTGGGTTGTGTGGCGCGCGAGGCGCGTAGGATGTACTTTTCTTTTAAAAACCCAGATGTGGGTCGAGTAAGCACTGTTATAGCATCCCAGTATGTTACAAAAACTGCGACTGACCGGCGTCGTCGCTGTGGCTTTCCGGAGTAAATACTGTGCCGTCCCGGAGTCGCTGCCTCGCTGGGAAAGCGAGACGAAGTGAAAATTTCGCGAAAGATCAATGCTAGGCAGCAGATACCATACGGTGCGCCAAAATTTACGGGTCAATTCGCGTGCGCAGCCTTAATTTTAAATTCTGCCGGACGGTTATATTTTTAGGGGATTTTGGACTGCAACTCAATTTACTTGGATAGAAAAGACATCGGATGGTCCTGATCGTTGATTACTTTCGCTTCTAAGTCGTTCTTCGGGAGAACAAAAAGGCTGCATTTCGTCCCTTGCAGCCCTCGTACGACACCCAAACTCTTCAGCGGTTGCATAAGTCCCAGCCCTCTAAATTCAAGTAGAGAGATCCGCTGATCGCTTTCGTTACGTCCCTGCAGCTATCACCAGATTCTGGGACGCGCCTGAGATCTGAGACACGAGCTGAATGAAAATGAATCTTCTCCTTTTAAAGACATCATTCACAATTCGGAGCAATTGAAAGATAGAGAGCCACTTACGATTCCATAGCTGAGGCCTGAGGTGCCATAGCTATAACACATGCGTTTTCAGCTCTCAGTTCACACCTACCGCGTAGCTTACAGCACCTCAGTGTCGGAAGAGTCGCAGAGTCAAGATGCATTCATCTAGAACGGGGACAGGGGCCATCCAATTAGATGAGTTGAGATGCACGGAACAAGGCTGGCTCACGAAGGGGAAGAGCTCGGGCACAAACAACAATGAATACGAGCAACAGCGACCGCCTCCATGAAGACGCTTCCTCCACTTCTTCGGTCCACGCTCAATGCTACACCAGTTTCTCGACGCAGAAGTCGTGTCCCAGTTAGCAACAGGGGTTCCTCTATCCTACCAGCTATTCCTCCGCGCTGATATGCCCGAGACCGGTTCGATCGGAGATGCAGAACTGAACGACACTGAGTGAGGAAATGGCACATACGTCAGCTTGACTCTTGAATACAAAACCACAACAAGAAGACAGATACTCACACCATTCCGTCCACGCACATGTCCTGGGAGAAGCCGATACACTTCGAATCAAGCAACTCATCCTCCTATCGTCGAACACTCCGACTTTCGAACGTCCCGCGGCCTGGGGTGGAATGAGGCGTCGAACCTCCTCTTGCATGATATCGACCTCGAGGGTAGTATGGCGTATCACGCATAGGACCAACGCTACCCAGGCCAATAGGAGGCGCTCGAGGATTCCTCGGACCCGCCCCAGTCTCGCCCGTCGTCCGTCTGCTATCCGAGCTCAGCGCAACCCGGTCCTGCTCTAGCTTCTTCTCCAACTTCACCCACCCCTCGTCCACAGCCTTCCTCTTCTCCTCCAACACCCTCCTCGTATCCTCAACGATCATCTTGCTCCGGTCGAGCGCTGCGCGTTCCTCCCGCAAAGCACTGCGCACCTCGTCCGCCTGCCTCCTCTCTTCCTGAAGGCTCATCCTTTCCTCCTCAATTCGCTCCCGCTCCTCTTCGAGACGACGTTTCTCTTCTTCTGTCTGATGCCTGGCCACTTCGACGATCTTCCACTCCTCCTCGGCTGCTTCCATGCGTTGTGCGATTTCGGCTTTCCCTTCGAGGAGAGCGACCTTCTGCGAGTCGAGGCTCGCCCAGTCGGAGAGGAGCTTGTCGCGCTCATCTTGAAGTCCTTTCTTGCTTTCATCTCGGAGCCTCTGTTCTTCCTCGACTGCGAGCCGGATGGCCTGAACTACTTTGCGTTCGTTATCTATGACGGTCCGTTCACGTTCTATTTCCTGCCGTTGCTGCTCTAGTTGTTGTCGCTCTTGATTAAACGTGTTCCTGTCTGTTTCTAGAAGCCGCCGGCCTTCCGTTAGCGTATTCTTCTCTTCTTCTAATGATCGGCGTTCTTCTGCAACTTTCTGCCTGTCTTCCTGCGTCAGCTTGAAGTACTCTTCCAACTTCGCGTGAGCTTCATCCAAGATTCTCTTCTCCTCGTCAAGCACCATTCTCCTCTCCTCTAAAACCTTTCTTTCTTCCTCGATCGCCTGGCGTCCCTCGCCAACATCATGTGGCAGCTCGCCGGAGGTCCTGGAGATTTCTTCAGTTCGTCTCCTCTCTTCTTCCAGCTTCTTTCGTTCTTCGCCAATTGTCCTCGTCTCGTCCATTATCCATCTCTTCTTGCCTTCAAGCTCCTCCTCGTTCTTCTTGATCTTGTCCTGGAAGAGTGCATCCATCGCTTTTGCACCCGCATACAGACGCTCCTCCAGTAGTGCAAAAAGTGCATTTGCACCGGCCTGGATCGAAGAAGAGTGTGGAGGGTCGACGCGTGCAGGCGCTCTCGCTCCGTCGTCATAAAATAGAGAACTCAGAGGGGTCAAATTAAGTTTGAGGGTATCAGAAGATAAAGATAGGTCCGGTACACCGCTCACGGTCCGAATACCTTGATTGAGAGCAAGGCCAGGTTTCGACGGATCGCTATCGGGTCCTTCGGGGAGATGTCGAGCTCGCTTCGGCGGTTTCTCTGGTCCTAGGAGGGAAGAAAGTGCGCCTAGCGAGCTGTGAGATTTGACATGCGAGAAATGGGTCCGGGAACATGCGGGCCGTTGTTGCTGCCCTTGATGCGTAAGAGGTTGGTAGGATGAGGAAACGTTCTCGGGTGGAATTGATGTGGACATGAAATTGGATGGTAGGGAATGAGAGGATGTAGGACGAGACGATGATGCAGAATTAGGAGAAGACGGTAAAGTCACGGGTATATTTTGGCGTTTGGACGAAGGTGAGTTGGGCGGCCAGAGGAGGGTTTCGAAGACGTTCGCCGGAGTGATTGACGACGCGAAGGTATCTCCAGGCCACCCCATGATGACTGGATTCGTGGTGGCGGATGTCGGCAGAACGTTGGGCTGGTTATAGGCTGTATGATGCGTCGTGTTGTTTGCCTGCCAGGTGAATTGCAGTGGTTCCGAGACATAGGACCCTTGCAGTGCAGGTGTAGCGTTAGGTCTATCAAGCTCCAGCCTGGGTCTCTTTTGTCCGACATTACGTGGTAGTGCAGGGTCTAAAGTCGTAGAAAGAGAGCGTACTTGGAGTTGCGCTGGAGCTAGGGGGTTTATGAAAGATTGCATAGGACCCATCGCTCGCGAGCGCAAACGCTGCGAAGATGGGCTCGGTTGGTGCGACAAAGGGTGTCCTTGAGTGTACATATGCGCTGAAGCATAGGTTGCGGGAGGGTCCAATAGTCTAGATATTGATTCTAAAGGTTTCAAGAGCAAATGTGAGCTCAGACGCACTGCGCAACTAAAAAGGATGCCTTCACCTAGCCTGCAGAGTTCCCGACGTGCGATTCTGACACTTGAAATCCCCTTCACGAAATTTGTTTAGGGAGCTGGTATCGCGAACGATTGTAGCATCGTCATGCGTATAAGTCGGATAGACTTGATGAGGAAAAGTGGACGAGGTTACCAAGTTAGGCTTTGCAGATAACGGTAAACACGTGCTCGAGAAACTTCAATTTGTTTACATACTCGTATAATCTGATCTTATCTAACCGGTGATGACACGGCAACACCACACCCTGACCACATCCTTACCCATTCTCGATGGCCTCTTCTTCGCTCGTCGGCTCCTTGTCGCCAATAATTTCACCTACCTTCGCTGCGCGTGTAAAGGCACAGCTCGTCTCACCTGCATCGTCGCAAATCGTGAAGCCACACGAACTTCCATCCGCCCTCGCGCGGCCTCTACAGGTTGCACATTACGAACCACACAGAGAACCCGAGTATCTTGCCGCCACAATAGCTTATGGTATCATTCTGGGTGAGCTTTCGTCTCAATGTTGCCCGAAGCTGCGGATTCAATGCGCTTACTCACGTCGACTTGGCGGGTTTTGCGGGGCATCCTTTCATAGATGGGAACAAGAGAATAGGTGGTGCCCGCTTTTTCGCTTCTCTACGCGCAGTTCAATTCGCATTAATCTTTTTCTATCCTCGAGTAGCCTTCTTCCTTGCAAACGAGTACGTGCGCGCTATGGGTCTTCCGGGCCTGAGCCCGAAACTATCCGACACCGATGTGCGAGAGTTTGCAGAACGTCAGTGCATGGCCTAGCATTCGGCGAACAGGATGTCTCGAAACGTTCATTACAAGTATTATGAATACCGAAGACAAGGGTTTTTTGCAACAGTCCCTCGGTCCCTCGGATCGAATGCGGCCACTATACGGTCCGGTCAATATTCAGAAGCTTGTCATGACCACGGCCTTCCCCTCGACATTTTACGATCCGAAATCCTAAATGCATACTTACCCAACTACTGTGCACGGCCGACAATGACCGCTACAAGCGACAGTTCGGTATAACTGGACTCTATCCAAGTGCTATAACTATGTATTTCGTACCCGCGGTGTCGGTAAGTGGGCAGTGCTGGTGCTGTGTAGAGAATACGCCCCATTTCACTTCGATAACCCCTGGATAATCGAAGATCGGCTTGAGTTGCCCGCGTCATACCTCGAGGCTCACATCAAATTCACTTTCAAAATCCCAGTGGTACCGGTGGAGAAGCGGAAGAGAATCCAAAAATTCTGCTTCAGCTATTCACCCCGTTGCTGCCGAGTCCTTGTCCAACTATTCCGTTGTTTTCCTCGCATCGAGTTGGGATCTCTTTCTCACAACACCAAGCGTCTAAAATTCTCTTCGCCAGACTGCTCTTGGTTTCTTAAAATAGGGCCCACACCCTCTCTACAGCCTGTCTGCTGCGGACGAGCGCACTCGTCAATCAGCTGTCCGTTTCCGTTCGGACACGATGCGGACACGCCTAGAAACGGAGGTCCTATGCAGCGGCCTAGCCAATCAAGCGACTTCCGCCGCTGGGTTCAGAAGCAGACGAATGGGTCGGTTACCTCCGATGAAGTCATTCTCTTCTTTTCGGGCATCGCCTTGTCCCTTTTGAACTTCCCTCGTGGATACTTAAAAGCAACACCCCGTCGTTGCATTTCCCACTTAGTCCCCTTCATCCTTTTCTTCTTGGGTTGTCAGGAGTCGCCTCTCTTACGACAGCCACCAAGCATCCTCTCACCTACGATGTCGTCCGCAAAGTATGCACCAGTACCCACAACGGCCCAACCACCCGCTATCATCATGCCTCAGGACCTCGACTCCATGATCGTCGAGTCAGAGAAGGGCCCTCGCGGAAACTCCTCCAGCTGCCAGCACTCGTGTGGGCATTGCGAGTCGAACGGGAACGGGCATCCTCCTGAGCACCGAGGGTGCCACAACGGTCGCCTCCGCCGCATACTCCTCCCGGCGCTAATCGCCTTCGTTATACTATCTGGCCTGTTCGCACTCAGCTGCGTGCGCGGGCACGGTGCGGACGCTGCTGCCTGGGGTGTTGAAACGTTGTTCAGTCGGCAGAACAACGGAGCAGGCAGTGGCAGCGACAATGGGGTGTTCATAGATCGGAAATGTATGTGTGACGTCTCTTGTTCGTGCTGATGGATCATTGACCTCGTTCGTTCGTTGCAGACTACCTTATTGTGATATTTGTTGGACTTTTTCTGGTGGTGATACTAGGCATCATGCTGAGCGCCTGGTGTTGTAAAAGTGGGCTCCTTTTGACCTAAGTCCGTACAATTCTTCCTGACGTATTTATCCTGCAGGCTCCTTTCAGAACCCTCTATGCTGTCCTTGCTACCTTTGTGCATGCTGTGGTGGTCTTGGTGCGTTTCTGTTCGTCATCCCATTGGCATTTCTCATGATTGTTCCATTAGCTTGCTTGCAGTGCATTGGATGCGGTCTTTGTGCTGAAGGGTTAAGTGAAATGTAGAATCCCGTTGGTGCTTTTCGTCGAAAGAGCTTCACCTGCCTTCACGGACACTTCTGTTCCATCTTGGACTCTATTTGCCTAGAGCAATAATATGTACTCTAAGTATAGGTGTTGTTATACCCTTCGCCGTCAATCTCAAGATCATTTGGTTTACTCCTGATCAAACTGGCATTTGAGGAACACATAGTAACATCAGATACTGATACACCTTTCTTCAGAATTCAACAAGTTTAACTAAGCTCTTCTTTCTCCTTTTCACGAACATCACCGCCAGAAGTGAAAGTTTAAGTACGACTGGTGATGTCCTTTTCGGCATCGTGCGCCACACTGGACCCCCCCTACAGCTGCATATTCACTTGTTTGCAATCAATAGCCAATATTCCGTTCTACTCGACGACGATGTGAGTTTAATGTCTTTTATATCGAACCGTCAATAAGGGGGGGTTACAGAACCAGTGATGTAGCAGCACGCAGGCTGGGCGTCGCATCGCGGACCTAAAAAGCTGATTGGGAAGCAAGTTATCCCAATTGGCGTGTCCGGCGGGTCGACTCTCGACACTAGGTATGCCAACCATCGGGAGGAGTGTGGACGCAGGTGGCTGATTGGCCTGAACCAATCGCCACGAAATGATATTCAGCAGGAAGTCGACGTCGACGCTTTTAGCCCAAAGTATACCCACAGGCACAACAGAACCGAAACACAAGAGCTGATCAGGAGGACATTGCGAGGCGGGCATAGGTGTTTGACGACTTTCCAATGAACTCTGAGCAGCCAATGATACGCCAATTTTCTTGTGGTGAAGGTGAGCAAGTCTTCGGAAGCTTTGTAATATAGTAGCACTCACAAGCGTCGGGGAAGGACTTGGAGAGGCGGCAGCAAGGAATAATAAGAAGGAGAGGATAATTGAAAGCGAGACAGGCACTTTGGAAGTTAGATCCTAGTTAGTTGATTTGGTTGGAAATAGTAGCTGAAATGACTGAACCTCCTCTTATCCACCGAGGCTTTCTCAGGCACAATTGTTCACGTGAATCTGACTTCACAAGGCCATAAAAGTGAACGCCATGTGCGATGTTGGTGGCCGATAATTAAGGCGAGCAGCCCTCACCTCGAAGTTGTAGATGTACCTTGTTGAAAACAATGAGTAACGAGTAGATGAATGACATTTCGTGGACAGAATGCTGGTATAATGCGGTGTTCCTCTCCCAAAGAGACGCACAGATTCAGATGGTGCGGCAAGCCTCGAGGGAAGAGATGGCATGGAATGCATTCGACCCACAGGAAATCCGACGAGCCCCTGGCACATGAGGGCAACAAGTTACAACCGTAGCGTGCGCCACACTCATGCTGTCGTCCAGAAGGCTCGCCCTGATCTGCGAAATCAAATTGAAATTCGAAAGCCTATAACAAACAGGGCACGAGAAAATGCTGTTCGTTTTTATCACAAGATTCAGAATGGACTTTCTAATTTTACACGAGCTCTTTTCTTCGCGCAAGTTAGCGCGACATTTGGAATTTTCCGTTCTTCGAAGTCGCCTTTCGCGTTGAGCCACAGAGTGGCTCTACGGGTTCAAATTCACTGGTACGCATCCAATAGCTATCAAGCCATTCTACAAAGAAAAAAATCATCCTCCTGTGAGTGGTACTTGTCAGAGAGATATAGGACTCACCCAATTGTTGATCTGGCAGCAGACTGGCAGGGCTGAACAAGAATTACCCCCAATCCCTATAGCACTAATGGGACAGGTCAATCCGACAGGTGTATCCGGTGGGGAGACGCTGTATATGCCGAACAACTGGAGGACAGTGGGCATCGGTGGTTCGTTCGCCTGGTGTTCATTTGGTGGGGATTAAAATTCTCTGTTCGAGAAGCCAGCCCGTTTGAGGACGAGGCGATGACTTACCGGGAAGACTTGTTGGCAGCACAAAATTGGACCGGTGTTGCATTGGGAAACGGGGATGGGCGACTGACGACGCTCTAGGGAGGTCCTCTGTGCCAGCGAAGAGTCGAATTTCTGAACGTGAATATGAATGAGTATGACTCAAGAAAATGAATAGAAGCAAGGCTCACCAGCGCCGGGGCAGGGGAGGCGGCAGCGAGGAATACAAGAGAAGAGACGACGAAAAGAGGAGAAAACATTAGTGAGACTCTGGTGCTAGTGGTTTCAGTGGGGAGGATGGGAGAGCACGTCGACCTGGGCCCCTTTTTATCTGTGAAGGTAGGTTTGGACATTCACAAAAGACCTGGTGGCTGGAGACGAGTAATCGTTGCCTTGAAGCGGTAGACGTACCTTGCATACGAGAAGGGAATATGTGGACAGGATGTTGGGATTCACTCATCTCGATCTGCCGTCTCAATCCACACGTACGGGTAGTGTGGGAAGTCTTAATGGGAAAGACTGTCAGAGGGCATTCAACCCACAGCCAAAGCCGACGAGGCCACAAGGGGATGCACAACCACAAGGTGCATCAGTCGTACTACCAACAGGCAGACAGGGCCGTCCAGGAACGCAATCGCGACGATCCGACTCCGGCTGCAAGTTTCAGAGAATGGAAGGATTCATTATGTTGTATTTTGCACAGCAAAATATTACCCCTAGATATTATCATCGCCTGAGGCGGTACGTAATTCGTGTCTTCTTCAATCATCATCCATTCTGAACCCGCTCAATACGAGAAGCCATTGAGCCTGTCGACAGCCGCCATGCCCTGGCCGACATTGACGTAGTCAAGGAGGACGAAGTTGGGCTTGCGGTCCTCGACGTACTGCGCACAGTGGGAGGAGTGGGAGGCAATCGCCTCGATGCTGTTGGTACGTGGGCTGTCAAGCCGGTCAGGGATGAGGATGCCGCGGCCGATGGGGAAGATGTTCGTGTTAAGATTGTGGTTGATCAAGTTTAGCTGCTGGCTCGGAGCAAGCGGGCCCTGGCTGCGGTCGACCTTGCAAGGGAATTTGCTGTTCGTGGGATCGTACTTATCTTCCCAGACCTACCAACCAGGAAAGAAAGGCAACAGACATTGATCAGGATCTGGAATGATGGACGGGGCTGATACAAGTAGAAGACGAGACGTACCATCTGGAATTGAGGCAGGATGAATTCGACGTCTGGCTCAGTGCGACTGTCTGCACCGTGGTCAAGGAAGATGACCACACGCTTGCCCGACTCGATCATCTCGCCCAGGGTAGGCCAGTCCTCGCGCGACATGACGGGCTGCGGAGGGACATAGGCCATGTCCGTGAAGCCGGTCTTGTCGAAGATGGGTTTCCAGACCTTCGAGACGGAGACGCTCTCAGGGTTGGTGAAGATGAGAGTGAGGACGTCGTTGGGGTGTCTGTCGAGGAAGTGTTTGACTTTGTTGAGGTAATCCTCGACTTTGCCACCATCGAAGAGGCCACAAGCTGTGAGGAAAGAGGGTCAGAGATGAAAACATTGACGAAAGTGAGAGAGACTAACTGGTATGGCAGAAGTGGAGATCTTTGCCATTCCTAATGAAACATGAGATCCGGCAAAGGGAATCTGTAAAATATGGGGCCGTACATGTGGGACTGAGCCTGCAACAAGCGAACACCGAGGGTCAACTGAGCTTCAATATCAACTTCCTGGGTCCTTGCCACTGCACACGACGGAATTGTATGAGCTATCGTTATCCGTGGACGCCGCAGAATTTGACACATACAAGCAAAGGGATTGCCGCTGAAGGCAAACGAATCGTGCGATCCCAGGAAGGTCGTGTTCCCATATTTCCGCTCGCAAAGTTCTGAATGACCATTGCAAAGTTGAGCCCTGCAACGCAGGAGAATCGTTCATCATCAGCGCCCGTTGTACCCCGAAAAACACCTCATGGGCTTCGAAACCTTTCGCACCTCTTTGTCGGAATCGTAAGACCGAGAACAGAAGAAGAAAGAAGAAGAGAGGTGAAAGCGAAAGCGGCCAGCCGCAGCGATGAAAACATCTTGGACGTCGTTTGGGTTGTTGGGGTTGTGTAGAGACCAGCTCAAGGGAAACGCATGATGGGCGGTGCCGCATATTTATAGGGAACCTAGAGCCAAGGGGCCGCTGCTGCACCGCTTTCGGAGGTTGGCAACGCGAGAAATTTGTCAAACGCCGACGCGTACGGCAGATTTCCGGTGCTGGTTGATGCCAAGGCCGGCCTATTAGGTGTCGTCTTTGAGGTCGTCGTCATCTGCTCCGGGGCCCGAATGGCTTCTTAGGAAAACAACAGAGTGCGGGGTATAAGTTGTATCATGAGTATTAGGTATGTAGTACAAGGCATGTTTAGCCAAGAGGGGATTCAGAACCCGTTCAACCGATCCACTGCTTGCTTAGTTGCACCAACATCAATGAAGTCCAACAAAACGAAGTTGGGGGCACGTCCTTGGGAAAGAGGTGCACAGCCGTTTGCATGAGCCAGAATGCTGATTACCGAGGTCAGATAAAGCGTTGATTAAGCTGGACTACGACTCACGAATCCAAACTGTTCGTCCTTTGGGCATTGGCAAAGTCAGCGATCAGCACCGAGCCGAAAATGACCGCGTTCAAATTGTGGTTAATTAGGTGCATATGATCGTCGTTGGAAAGAGGACCACTGGTACGGTCGATGGAACAAGGGAAGTTAGAATTGGTCGGCGAGAAGGGGTCCTCCCAGATCTGTTCAGAATATTTACGACCTCGATGAGAAAAAGAGATAATGAAGTCACGTACCATTTCGAACTGAGGAAGGATAAAATCGACCGTCTGGCCCGAAATGGCAGCACCGCCATCGAGGAAGACGATAACCCGCTTGTTGGCGTCGATGAGTTGGCCCAAGGTGGGCCAGTCGGATCTCCTCATGCGGCGAGAGGGAGGGACGTAGGCAAGAGGGGTGATACCTGTTTCCTGAGTGAACAAAATTTGTGGCAACGCGAAGCAAACAGCATACCAGCAGCGTCGAAGGCAGGCTTCCAAACGTTCTGAACAGATGCACTGTCGGGATTCGTGAAGATGAAGGTGAAGACCTCGTAAGGGTTGGCATCTAGAAAGGTCTTGACTTTCCTGAGGTAATCCACGACCAAGCCCCCATCGAAGAGAGCCTACAATAGAGAGTTGAGTGTTTCCTTGTTAACCTTCAGTCAAATGACTCTTACGCATGCTGCAGGAGAACGTCAGTACAATGCTAGAGGGACTAGATGACGTATCGACTCACATGTATGGCAGAACTGAAGTTGCCCGTTCTCGCTGCGAACAGAGAATATTGCTCCAGAATTCTGCCCAAGAAAATGATAAAAATAGCCCTTACATATGTGCTTGTCCTTGCAAAGTCCGAGCACCAAGACTCAACTGAGTCGGGATGTCAACAGCTTGGTTCCTGGCAACTGCATCGAAAGATATGAGTTGGATCTGTTCCAATAGATGATAGAGCCTTTCCAACGTACGAGCAAGCACCAGGGGGCTATGGGCGAAGGAATTGTGGGCAGTCATGAAAGTCGTGTTTCCATACGGTCTATTGCAAAGCTCTGCACGACCATTGCAGATCGTTGCTCTAAACGGCGTTCTTCAGTCTCAACGAGTCAGCAAAAGACCCGCTGAACGCTGACCTTTTCCGGAGCAGATAAAGCCCGTTCGTGTATGATGCAAGAGACAGTAAGAGGACGGACAGAAGCTGGGGCGAGAAGAGCATCGCGTTGGAGTCGTTCGAGGTTACACGATCCTTCCTTCAAGTTGAATATCGAAGGTTGGGGCACCTTCTGCCATCTTCCCTCCGTGCCCTTGAGTATTATATCGGAATCACACCGAACGACCATCTGATGGAACCTGGGGTGCCATGCTGTTCAGCGGGGGAAATGGCCAGTAGACGCATTCACGCGCTTTCGAGGTAACGAGAGTTCGCAGTCAGCTCATGTGCCAAGAAGAGAGCATGACCGCTCTGCCCTCTTGGCCGCCTCGGCATCTCCCGCCGCCGCCGCGGACTTGGAACTTTAAAGCCTTAATCCTTTCTTGACTTTTCACTCAACTGGGAGACTATGCAACATTTTGTACAGCCTACTCGTCCGACAACTTTTTGGATTCCTGGTTTCCCAAGGAATCCTCCCACCCAATTCCATGAAGTCCGCGCTCGATAGTCTCGTTCCCTGTCGACGGTCTTACCAGATTCCACCAGACTGTCTCTTTTCTCTCCGTTTACAGTACGTCAAGCCCAAAGGTACTTTTTCATAACGGAAGGTAGAAACGCTTGCTCCCAGGTGGGTGACTATGGCTATAAATTCCTCGTGTCTACGAAGTCCACCGAACTCTCTTTTTTTGTCCTTTGTCTCCAGATGCCATATCCAGTCGATCTCCTCATTTACCAGTGGCAAAGAAGGAGGCCCAAACTTCAGTCTCTTTCCCAGCGACAGAAATGCAACAGGCATATGTATTATTTGCCGTTATCCCTGCATTGTCCCTCGGTGCCTACGCCTTGCCACCAAACCCAACTTGCAGCAAGTACGTCTGGAAGCCTTTTTTCGATCAAGCAGGGTAGTCCATCCAGAATTTCTGTTCATTGTCTCGACCCCCTTGCGTGAGGGTCGTGCTGATATGGCCCACACACCGCCGATTGTTCCTGTCAAGCAGGGAATTGATAAACGGCTCGCCGTATTCCTCGACTCAGGTGCTGACACTAAGGTCGACTTGATTCTTCCTGAGCTCCAGATGTTTCGTTGAATCGCCTCTGTTCCCCCCTTATTATCCAACGCTGATGAGGTCTAAATCTCGGACACTTCCGTGTAACGTCAACATAATTGCTGGAGCACTGCTTACGGAGGAATATATCTCCATGGTCAACCATTTCTCTGAATATCATCACCGTACCAATACACCCACCGGCGTCACTTCATATGTCCTCTCCTGTGAGAATATCACTGTTATGCAGCCTAGCTAATATTTTGGATGCAGCATGATGGATTATATGCGAGGACGCCTCCCGTATGGCGCGAACCGTGATCTGTAGTTCCTGTTGTTCAATTTCGTCAACTCTCCGGATCCTTTCGAGCCTGGAACATCGCAAACTGCCCGGAAGTTTAAATCATCACCAGGCTTATAGCCACTTTCTTCCAAATATCTTATTTTTCCAGGTCCTTCTATATGGACAATCCTTGTTTCCTTTCTTGCTTGATGGCTTACATAAAGGCGATCGCTCAGAGGATTGGCGCCACAATATGACGCTCCAAATCTGGACGTCGCCGAATGAGCGGCCAGAAAGTTCCGGATTCGTGAGAAACGACATCAAACCTTTCTTAGACTTGAACCTTACCTCCATCCTCCCTTCCGAGTCAGCATCCCTACGCCATCTCTCCGTGTACGCCTAAATCTCGAGAGCACAACGGTCTACTTCCGACCCTTGACCTCATCCTTTTTTTGTCCCCGCAGATAATGCTTCGAATTCGTTCTAAAATTAAAGAATGTCCCAAAGTACTATTCTCGGGGGAACTACTGCTAGCTCGTATGCAGTGTGGATCCTCAAATATCCTTCCTCGTGGAAGCGTCCTTCGCCTTTGTGGGCCCATTTTTCCCCGCGAAGCCCACATACCAGTCCAGGACTCTATCTTTCGTTCCGTATCTGGTCTGCACATCGCATGTACTTCTCTCGGCAGAACGACGGTCCGATCACACACGTGATCTGGTCCGTCACGGCTTCGGCACAGCCACCGGCGTGTCCGGGCCGGGGTACTGTCTTCCCCTCTGTCACCCCGCGTTGTGCGTGTTTGTCTCGGGGCCCTTCGTCTCCCGCGCCGTCTATTGCTCTGGGATGGCTGTCACATGCTGACATGCCCTTCTTTTTTTCCCTAGGTCGGCAGTCCCTCCGGCTGTCTCACGGGCCATCGACGGCCTGCACAACAACGGCTGGCACACATCCCTGTTGGGACGATCGGCCCCTATCATGGGCGTCTCCACTGCCACGGGCGCCTACGCGCTCGTGCTCGTCGTTTGTGCGGCTATAA